AGCTCTAATTCTCCCAGATATTGCAGTAGAATGCTTGTCATACCTGCATTTCACGGGTGCCAGATTAAACAAGTCACATTTAGACAATGAGTGTTGCTTGCTGAGTTGCTTCTAGCTTCAAAAGGGGCAATGAAGAGGTTATGTTTTCACTTCTGAGGTGGAGGAGGTAGAAGGAAAGGGCAGTGGTAGTCCTAGGGATACAGTAGATGTCATGGAATTTAGCCAGCTAATGCAAAATACCTTTCATGCTTCTCACTGACCAGTCCTTTGCTGACATTTGAAAGGTCCACGCTTTGACACCAGGGCTTTGAGCCACCTGAGGTGGACACAAACTGGAAAACAGAAGACTTGGATCAATGAGGTACAAGTCACAAAGCTGCATGCAGTCTTGGTTTAGGTCAAAATGTAATGAGGAATTTGATGGTTTTGGTGCTAGTATGGACAAAAACAAATTGCAATGAGGGCAATAAATTGGGTCTTCTGTCACCACCTGATCCTGCAGTGAAGACAGGAGCAACATTTAGTTGTGAGCACATGGGAAACCTTTGTGTAGCTGGACTTGGAAGGATCCTGAAATTTCTACTGGGATTCTCCAGTGCAGGATGGGCCTGTGCTGGCATTATCACCTCATTCACCAGCCTGAGAGGCTTGTTGGGCTCAGAGAGGAAGGGGACACACCTGAGGCACAGCGTGCAGAAGTCTTTAGACACAATGAGAAATTTAGCAGGAGGTTTTTCTTGTTACAGAGAAACTTAGGCCAAATCCCCTTGCTTCCCTTCAGGTGAATGAGGAACTTGGGAAATCTGTTGTTGTGCTTAGAGGGAAGCAGGATGGAATGTGCTCGTGTGGCACAGATCCTCGAGCGGCACACAGCCGTGCTATATCAGGGAATAAACTTTGGTTCGAAGTTTCCTGGCTCAGCCAGGTTGAAGCTGGTGTAGAAGTTCAGCCTAAACATCTGGGAGCTCACGCAGTGCGTTGGAAAGGTGGCTGGGAGGTCTTGAAAGACGTTTCTGTTCAAAGACCTGAGCAGTAGTTTGCATTTTGCTCACAGCCAGACTGGCTCAAAGGTTTTTAAGACCCCCTGGATGCTGAGTTGTCTCTGAAACCAGTGCTGGGAATAGGGTGAGGACAGTTTTAAATCTGAGCCAGAGCAGGAGGTCATTTTGCTCTCCACACTGGATTATACAGTTATATGGTTGTGTGTGTATTTCTACTCAGCCAATTTATTGTTTGCTTTCAAAAAGCATATTCCCAACGAGTGCTATTAATATATTTTGTCACATATTTGCAATTACTGTGTGCCTTCCTCTGATTTTCTACCTGGATGAAAGTTGGAAGAAAGAAGCCAGGATTTTCCAAGTCTCTCATGGGATGAGACGTAAAGGGGAGTGGGATTTGCATGTGTGGGCTTTGTTCTGGGAGGGATTAAATGTGGCTGTCCTTGAAGAAAGTAATTTTTAGCAAGACAATGAAAAACTAAACAAATTTTAGCAATTTACCACAGTCAGGCGAAGATCAAACGGATTATGTGAAGTGAAGAGAGGGAGTAAGACTCAACTATTGCTTTTGAAATGAGGGTTTTTCTGGGGGAGTGATAATATCTTCAGGGCACTTTGCTGTGATTCTGATTCAAGCAATGTAGGTAAATTCTTCCACAGGTCCCTCTTTTGAACCTGGTGGTGGAAAACCCCCCAAAGTTTGCTTCAGATTATTTCAGTGCTGTAAAAGCTGAAAAGATGCTGAGGGTCTTGTTTTGAAATAGAAACAATGATGAGTGGTGGACCTTTTCACACTGTGAGAGTAGCCCATGTTCCAGTAATTTGCACAAAGGTGTGGATGCCAGGGGAATAGAACTGGTCTAGTAATTTCAGACATCTGCATCTATTAGATAAATATATATACACCAACTTACTAAAAATAAGAAAAATAAGTATACAATCAAAGAGTAGAAAAATAAAATGTCTTTTCACACCTTGGAAGGTCACACAGAGAGGCATTTTCACAAGTGGCTTTGAGGGCAGGCTCTGGAGGGGAGCTGAGTGGAGTGTTACATTTTTTCCCAGGATTTTTTTTTACTCATGAGCAATTTTAAATTCTTGAAACATTAAAATGTACACACTCCAAAAAATGGCTTGTAGAAAACGCTTCTAATAATTGGTACCTACATCAATAAGTAAAGCAATTTTTGAGTCTTCTGAGAATCTTAATTTTATGCTATGTATAAAAAATGTGCATTATATTATATACATATATATTAATATATATGTATAATGTATTTTTGTGGAAATAGGAAGAATTTTTAGACAGATTGATGTTATTGTCTAGTGGTTCTTAGAGGCTGGATGGCAGCTTGTCATTTTTGGGGAGACAGTGAACAGCACTGAACAGCTGACTTCCTCAAGTGAACCTTCTGGCTGATGGCTCCTTTTCTTACACTAGTATGGCTTTGCTAGATAAATCAAACTGATGTCCTGAACTCCATTTCCCAAGTGGCTTCCTGATTTTTGAAAGAGAGATTTTGGACTACAGGCCTTCTGAATGTCATGCAGGGGTTGCACCTCAGTCCTCTGAGAGGAGACACTACACTGGAATAAACCCTTGCCCTCGTCCTGAGGTGTCCATCCATCTGATCTTCACTGCATGACAGAAAAGCACCCTGAGGATGGGGAAAATTTTCTGCATCAGGACTGCTGGGCAATCTCCCCAGTGCTCCTGGGAAGGAAAAAGGGGAGGAAGAACAGAAATAGTTTGGGGTTGTTGTTGTTGTCCTCCTCAGACTTCCTCGTGAGGAAGAGCTTGAGCTTTCGGAGACGAGGGGTCGTGCTGAGGACCATGTAGAAAGGGGAGGGGTGGAGGATGGGCTGGGACATTTGGAGAGGGCACAGGGACAATGTTGGTGCACAGAGCCTCGAGCAGCCCAGAAGAAAAAACAGGTGGAGAGAGGGATGTGCCTGGCTGGGTAGGAGCTGATAAAGGTGCACATAAATCAAAGCATGTCTGCTTTGGGGAGGTAAAGCAGGAAAAAGCTTTGGGATTCTTGTTCCTGGCATGTGAGTTGTCATCCTAACAGCCAAGTCTTTGTTTAAATCCCTGGTGGTGAATGCTCCACAGGCCAAATGCTGCTGCCTGGTACAGTCCTGGCTCCTGAGGACACTGGCATTGCACAGAAACCCAGCGTGCTGCTCTGAGTTTCTCCTGTCGTGTACCATAACTCCTTTTTGATCCTTGTCTCCCAGGCAGGGGCAGCCACGTCAGTCCTACAGCTCACAGGTCCTCCAGTGATGAAACTGGGGCCAGGTTTAGCTGCACACATGGGCTTTCTCCTTTCTTGGGAAAAAATGGAAGATTTGCTGTTCTGGGTTCTTAAAGGACCAGAACAAGGACCCAGTGCTAAGAGATTGGCAAAAAAATCTTGTTACAACTTGCCTTTTTAGATATATGGCCTAACTGAATTAAAATAATAATAATAATAAAAAAAAAAGAAGGTAAGCAGCAGCATTGTAGTGTCTCTATCAGATTTGCAAAATTAACATTTCCTTTGAATCTCCACAAAACAACCCCAGACAAATGCGAGGAAAATCACATCAACAGCAACAAAAATTTAAATCCCCCAATCTGGGAACAAATCAGAAACAAAAATACCCCCAGGGAAAGTAAACTAATAAAATAACCTTCACAAAACCCCCGCCCTCAGCAGTGCTTTAATCCAAAAAAGGGGGCAGAAAAAGCTTCCCTGAAGCCAGGCAAGGCTTTGCTGGTGCCAGTGATTTTTATGGGGAGGGCACTTGGATATAAAGCCAGGAGACAAATCTCCATCTGCAAACAGAGCGCTTCAAATAACATCCAAAGGCACCTGGGCTCCGTTTCCCCTCAGCTGCCAGCAGCTCCTGAGCCACCCTTGGAAGTTTTAGGCTTTCCCTGTGGAAGGACGGGCTGGGAAAAGTGGTTTTTTTTTGGGGGGTGGAAATCCTTGGAGTGCAGCTCCGGGGCTGGGATTGCAGAGGAAGCTGAGGCCTCCAGCCCTGCACAGGAAGCAATCTTAGAGCAGGCCTTAAATGCCAGATTCCAGGCAGAGTTTAACTAACCACTGACAGCTCTGTAAACAAAGCAGGGACAAAAAGAGAACAGCTTTCCCTTTTCTGGTAGTCATTTTTGGTTTGGGGGCTGCAGGGGAATTCTGTAATAGTCGGCTTGATGGGATATAAACCGAGGCTGGGAAGGCTTTGTATATGAAGAACTGTAAAGGGGAAAATACTTCATGGACTAAATCATAAAGAAGAAGGTAGGGCACGGGCAAAGCACGCGGATTAATCGCCAAAAAAAAAAATATTGCTACTTTTTGTTCTTTGAGCGGGATCTGTACATAGTTTGACTTCCCCTGAGTGGAATTTTAAAGCAGTGGCTTATTTTAATTATTTCTCTTTTTGTTCTCTTTTTTCTCCCCCCCCTCCTTTTTCTCTTTTCCTTTTAATTCTTTTCTCATTTTCTCTTCACTTTCCTTTTTTTTTTTTGAATTTCTGAAGGTGGGGGTGGGAACAGCTGGAAGGGGGGGGACTAACTTTTGCAGAACTTTTAATTTTCCGTGCAACTAAAAAAAAAAGAACTCCTCTCTCGTGCAGTGCTTTTACTGCTTGCGGTGAAAAATTGGAAGCTTAAAGTTAAAAATCCTGCTGAATTTGTTGTTTTTTTGTTAGTGGAAAAGACCTGTGACGTTACAAATAGCTAGGCTGCGGCTAGCAGATGTATACAGTCCTTACTTGAAGCATGTTGATTTAATTTTAACTAGGAAACTAAACGCAGGCAGGGCTATGTTTATCCTACAAGACATTTCATTAATCTTGTTTATCTCAACAATACCGAGGAAGTCGAGGTTTTTTGATGGAAAAAGAAAATAGTTACAGCGCCGTTAAGGCAGCAAAACAAAACTAAATGGACTCAGTTGGTTAAATGCCTCCCTTGTGTTTTCACTCTCATCTAAGTGATCATCTCCCTTTTAGATTTGGATCTTTCCAGAGCTTGGAACGCTTAAACAGCCGCCATGGATGACTTTGAACGCCGCAGAGAGCTCAGGAGGCAAAAGCGTGAGGAAATGCGCCTGGAAGCAGAGAGGTGAGTTACCACATCTGGAAAATGGTGCTGGTGCCTTGCCTTTGATTAGCAATGGCTATCAGAATTTCTGCCTCAAGTCCCAAAGAGTCCTTGTGCTAGCGATACGTGCCAGAAAAATAGCTTTAGCTAACGTTGTGGGAGAGATGAGGAGTGTGTACTACCTAATTTCTTTAGAATGCTGTAAATGTCTGGCTTCTGGTGAGATGAGGAGTGTGTACTGCCTAATTTCCTTAGAATGCTGTAAATGTCTGGCTTCTGGTTATTTTGCTGCATGGATAAATGTAAACAGCAAAGGTGGTGGAATATGGGCACGGGAAATCATAAGAAAGGAAAGCTCATCCTCAGATGCTGTGGGAGTGCTGTGCAGATGGGATTGTACTTGCCAGATATTTACATGTCAGATATTATATCTACTAAAGATAAAGGTATAAATTGAAATCTGATATACACTTGGTATATGCTGTATTCAATTTGTGTGATTTGTCTGCCTGTACTGGGCATTGCCTGTTGCTTTTTATTCATTTACAGTCGCTTTATGTGGGCACCAAGAGCAGCATTTGCTGTCTGTTGTTACAGATTTACTTTGGTGAAATGAGAGCAGAATTTGATGTGGGTATGATGATGTCAATTTATGAAATAAATATCGTGAAAATACTGGGAATGGCATTTCATAAACTAAACCCATTTTACACCTCTACAGTTCTGTTCACTTTAATGAAATTTCATGATTTACACTGGTGTAAATAGGGAGAAAGGCTCCATTCATTTTTGTAATGTCTTCAGTGATAAAAAGATTTGATTATTAACACTGCATTGATTTTTAAAAAAAATAAAAGCTAGGTTTAAGCACATTTTGTTCTCATTTTTGTATTTAATTCTGAATAGGGACTTCATTTTTGTTTCTTCTTCTTTAAACAAAGCTGTTAAAGGAGAGGCTGAGACCTGAGGGTTTGATGGGAATAGCGGCCTTGGGTGGTCTCTGGAGGATGTTAGGGGTTGTAGTTTGGGAGTTTCTGTAGAAAAATACCTCTTAACTTCTCTTTGAAGACCTCCAGGCTCTGGTTGAGCATGCAGAGGCTGTGGGGTGACCTGGGCTGTGTGCTGTGGCTGGTTTGGGCCGGCAGGGACAGCCACAGGGCCTGGGGACAGTGGGCTCTGCCCTTGCCATCACTGGAGCTGGAATCCAGGACCCACGTGTATCCCACCCTGCTGATGGAAACTGCTTTTTCCACGTCTGGGGTGCTCTGTTGGGGTTTAGGAGTGGTGCTTTCATGGAGGGGGGTAGCTTGGCCAGAGAAGAAGGGTTTGGGCCTGTGTCCCTTTTTCTCCCTGATCACTGCAGATGCGCTCCGTGCCCTTTCCCACACATCTGAAGGCTTTCAACAATAAATTACTGTACGCTAAATCTTGCTGTACTCCCTCTGCTGCTGCCAACTTCAAGCATTCAAGTACCATGAGTCAGACCCCTTAAAAGTCACAAGACTGCTTTAAAAATCTCAGGATCTTAAAAATAATTTAGTCTGGACTTTTTATTTTTGGTTTGCCTTAACAGTAACAGAGTCTGATTCTCAAGTTCAGATGTGACTCCGGGAGCTGGGACCTCCCAAATCCTGCCCCAGTGAGGGCAAGGTGGGGCAGGAGATGAGCTGAGCATCTGCCCCCATTGCAGAGCTCACACAGAGGGAAGGACAGCAGCACTGGGGCAGTTATTATTAACAAATGAATATGTGATGCTGCATCGGTTTTGGTGAATTCAGATTTTTAGGGATTTTTGGGGGATCATCTTCACCTTTATTGATTTGACCACAACATGTCATAAACTGCAGAAATCTGCTCTCCAGGCTTTCATAAAACACTTTCAGGTGTTTTATGAAGTGGGTTGTGCAGTCCTAAAGCTCAGCATGGAGGTTGGAAATATTCCTCCATAAGTTCTGAGCAGAGGCCACAGAGCCCCACAGTGGGCTGCTGTGGGGAATCCAGCACTGGTTGTGAGCATTTCTGCTGGGAGATGGACAGATGGATGTCTGTGTGGGCTGGAACACACTTGCCAGGTCTCCCATGTGCTGTTTAGGCTTTGAGTAGAGCAGCAAACCCAGCAGTGCAAGCAGCCACATCCATCAGCAGCGTTTGTAACTCCAGTGTCGCGTTTTGCCGATTCCTGGGATGAATATACATTGAAAGCCCGTCTTTCTAGCTGGATGCCCGTGTCCAAGAAAGACTGAGGGGTGAAAATGTAGCAGGATGGACTCCTGCAGCACCTGCCCAAGAGAGAGTGATTAGATATTATCATGCCTTCAGTGGAGCCAGAGCCATGTTAGGATCAGTGAGGATACAGATGCTGTCAGATTCCCGAGAGTCTGTGATGCTGGAGCCGCTGATGTCCAGCTATTTAATCTTTGGGAAGCTTAGTGTAAGTTCAGTTCATGAGGTCTGGTGTGAGGCTTTGTGTTTTGGGGCTTTTTCCCATTAGGAATCTGTTGGAAATGATATTTTGTTGTGCTGTGTAGCCCTGGCATTTGGGCTTCGTGTGCTTAGAATTCGTTTTGTCTTTTGAAGACCAACATTGCATTTCACCCCTGGTACGTGCTGTGGATAGTAATTAAAGCTGTGGCAACTCAGATAAAAAAATTCCACCAACTCAGAAGCAAAGTGGGTTTTTTTTGCATTTTAAGATCTTATAATTTCCAGGTATTCCAGACGTTCTGGATTCCCCACGCTGCGCCCACCCAGAAATTTTGTCCAGCCAGATTTATAATTTTTTTTTTTTCACTATTTATATTTGTCTGGATCTCTGGAGGCCTCTCAATGTGTTTGGAGCAGCACTGCAGACCTGTCTAGGGGGCATGTTTCCAACAGCAGACATATGGGACTTTGTCCAGCTTTCTCCCAAGGCTGTCAGATTTATTGCGTGTGCTCAGCCTGGCGGGGTCCCAGCAGCTCGGGTACCTCAGGGGGGAAGGAGACTTTCCAGCCACAGCCTGGGAAACCCAGGACAAAGGATGGCAGTGCCAACTTGTGCCCATCTGGCATCATCTGGTTTGTACTGATCAGGTGTGAGCTTCAGGGAAAAAAAGGAAAACCTTCTTGGATGTGCTACACCTTTAACTGCTCAGGGGCAAAGCTGAGGCTTTGTCCTGCTCCCCAGGGACAGAGGGACTCCTGTGCCTGGGACTGGTTTTATAAAGCCCTGAGGTACCAGTCTGGAGCTGGGAAGCTTTGCACTGATTTCAGCTTTGGATTAAGCCCTCCCTGAGTTATTCCAGGCAGCTGATTTACGAGGCAGTGGCAGCCTTGAAGGAGCTGGGTGAGCTCCTCAGGGTACATCCTGTGCTGCAGTGTCAGGGCTGTCACACCAGCGAGCTGCACGGAACTGACGGGAAGGATCCCATGTGGAACTGGAGCACAGGGGACTGACTTCCTTCAGCAAGGGAAAAAACAAATACCACCTGCTGCTCTGTGCCTCTTCCTAGGCAGTAAAAGATGTTCCCTTGAGCAAAACCCTTGGGTTTTGTCGTTTTGATGTTGCAACTGATGCTGGAAGGATTTGGCCTGGAGCTGGGTAGAGTTTGTGTGTGTCTGGAGGGGTGACAGAAAGCATTTCTGCTGGTCCACTTCAGTCTGCTGCAGCTGCACTGAAAAGTTGAGGTGAAATACTTCTTGAAATGACAATGGACCTACTTCCTTGACTTCAGCAAAACTGAGAGCAAAAATAAGCCCCTTAAACTCTCTAAAGAATATTTCTCAGGTTAATCTATTTAGTACTTAAATCTCAGTTTTACAACTGGCTGACTTGTCATTGTGCCAGCAATGAATTTTCATTTCTGCTTTGTGGTTGTTGTTATTATTGTTGTTTTGTTTGTATTTGTTTTTTAGTTTGTTTGATTTTGTTTGGTTTGTTTGGGTTTTTTTTTAAATTTTATTTATACTAGGAAGCTGATCCAGTTTGTTCCATTGTCACAGCATCACTGCTGAAGACTTCTGGAAGGTCTTAGGGTCATTGTCAGCCTGGCCTCCGTTTAGGTGAAGCTTAACTTTGAATCTGAACCAGAGTTTTGCCCTGTGTCGTGCTCTTCCCTAAGTGATTGCAGATCATGTCATGGGGAAGGAGAGCTGTTGGTCACCCTGATGTGAAAATATGGCAAAGAGAAGGGGTTATCTAGGTTAATTAGATATTAAATAACTCACCTTAAAAAAGGGTATTTGAGTAGGACATAGAGAAAAGCACTGCCACAAAGCTGCATGGCTCCTGATAGCATTAATTTAGAAAGAGAGAAAGAGAGAAAGAAAGAGAGAGAGAAAGAGAGAGAGAAAGAGAGAGAGAGAAAGAAAGAGAGAAAGAGAGAAAGAGAGAAAGAGAGAAAGAGAGAGAGAAAGAAAGAAAGAAAGAAAGAAAGAGAGAAAGAGAGAAAGAAAGAAAGAGAGAAAGAGAGAAAGAAAGAAAGAGAGAAAGAGAGAAAGAGAGAAAGAGAGAAAGAGAGAAAGAAAGAAAGAAAGAAAGAAAGAAAGAAAGAAAGAAAGAAAGAAAGAAAGAAAGAAAGAAAGAAAGAAAGAAAGAAAGAAAGAAAAAGAAAAGAAAAGAAAAGAAAAGAAAAGAAAAGAAAAGAAAAGAAAAGAAAAGAAAAGAAAAGAAAAGAGAAAAGAAAAGAAAAAAAAAAGGAAAAGAAGGAAAAATAAAAATATTTCTTTATATTTTAAAGAAAAGAACCTGCAGATGAGGGGTGGCAGGAGCCTGCAGGAGGCTGAATGTCTCCTGGGATAGTAAATTGCTTAAATGCAACTTTTGCTAAAACAAGACACATGGTTAATCCTGACTTGGTACAACTGAAAAAGAAGTCAAGTGAATTTCAGTTTGGATCTGTGAAGGTGTGTAGAGGACCAGACAGAACCAGAAATTTCACATTTTACTGTTCCTATGGAGGATGTTGTAGCTCTGGCAGCAGACAAAGGACAGATTCACCAAGTTAAGAAGGTCAAACCTGCAGGGTACATCTTTGCAGGGC